CCCTTCTCAGCGAAACGCCCCAGGGATGACAGACTTGCTTTGTAGGAGTAAATCCAGGCACACGTGTAAATACAGAGATAAAGCTGTTTTATTTGCCGATCTCCAGTGTTCTGCACTACGCTTCTACATCTAGTTTCCTCCAGCAGGATTAAAAGCCATCAGATTACAATACAGTGGCCCTCACAGGATGGGTCAGTATCATGCATTGTAGAAAAGCATTACGCATATCAGCAGACCATATTTAGGCAATTCACTGAACTGGACAATAGGTCAAGAATGTATTTAGGTTAAGTCAAGTTTGTCATTTTCCTCCCCTCTCCTGCTTGGGTTTTTCCCCCACATCAGATACCAGAAAAAAAAACCCAAAACAAAACAAAAAAAACAACCTCCCCCATCCCTCTACAGAAATGAAGTTTTCTCAGATCATTTCTGATCACATTATTATTTTTGCAGCTAAGATGAACCACAAGGCAGTAGAAAAAAAGGAAAAAAAAAAAAAGGCAAAGAACCTGTTAAAAATGATGCAACTGGCTTTCTCCCTTCCCCCAACTGTGAAGATTAAAATAGTGATTGCTTCCATCAAATGCCTTCGATCACAGCTTTCACTAAACAGACTATTCAAGCCACATTTCCATTATTCTCATCATCACTTATGTAACAGTGACTGATTTTATTATTATTCTTTGCATGCATTCCCCCTAATGCTCTAGGGTAGGAAAGGGGATTTCCTCTCCCCCTCCCCATTCCTAACCAGCAACAGATAAATAACTTCAGCTCAGTGTCTAAGACAATGTCTTTTCTCAAAGGAGCCTTTTCCGTCTGGACAGCAACAGTACAAAAAATATGTTGTTGTGGCATGTGCCAGCTAATAAATTCCCTCACTGGGGATCTTCATTTATTCATATTGAGTCATCTGGTTAACGTTGTCTTTAGAAGACAAAGAGTTTGAATATTATAAAGAGCTCGTACAATATGAAGGGCAACTGTACTGAATGGCTAAGGTAAAACATGTTACCAACTCAGAAACCCTTATAAAAGGAGGAGAACATATATCTGCTTCTCTGCTTCAGCCTATATTTCATGGTAATGGTTCGGCTTCTTTGTTGTGATTATGACATACCGCTCCTTGCATTTACCTTCTCTGTCCTAAAACTGCTTGTAAAAACACTATACGTACTGCAGATGTGTGTCCTTTTGGGGCTCGGGAAAAAGATTTAAAAAAAAAAAAAAAAAGACAGGGTTTCTTAGGGCATTTAAAACTGCCCTGTTTTCCGCTTTCATCTTTCTAGAAATAGACATGTAAATAATACGAAAAAGGAAATAGAGCAATACGCCATTCACTCCAAAAGCATCCTTGGTTATAAACAGATGCCTTGTACCAGAAAAAGGAGCAATCCGGCAACCTGAACAGGCCCAAGCCCCGGCAGCGGGTGAGCTGGCGCTCCAGGCACTGCTCACCTCCCAAACCCCGTCCCCGTTTTCTCAGTAGCAACACTGAGGTTGCAGTATTTACTCTGCCATGACCTGGCCGAAGCAATTTAATTAACACTCAGAAAATATTCCAATACTACTCAACAATGACATAACACAAAACAAATACAAAATGTTGCTTAAAAAAAAGAAAGAAATGTTATGTTTTCCTTCTCTAGGCTTCAAAGTTACTTTTTGCTTTTTATGTAAAGACAAAGCTGCTTGTGAAATTTTCAAAGCTACTTCCGTGCCTGTTCCAAAAACACTTCCATTACCCAGGCTCTTCACAGAATCACAGAATCACAGAATGGTTAGGGTTGGAAGGCACCTCTGGAGAACAGCTCTTCTGAACAGTAGCTTTTTTGGCTCCACAGTCAAATGGCATACATAGCCTAAACCCTTTGTGGCAAATAGGATTCAACAGAACAGAGCAGCTTTCTACAGGATGAATCAAGGAGAGCAGGGTATTCCTGGCTCTACCAAAAATATTTACATCACCTGAGGAGGACAATATGGTTCTATTTTTTTTCCTTAGTTTTGTAATAAAATATGAATAAAATAGAAATATAAATAAAATGCAAATTAAATGGTAAAAATACTGATATCCTTTGTAAAGAGATCACTGATAACAATATATGTTATCCTCAGAAAGTAATCTATTTTTTTTTATCTTTACCATGCATGGCCAGACAATTTTCTTGCACCCTCAATCTTCCGTATAAGCTACAAAGTTGACCACAAAGTGGGTATATGTTGAAGGATGTGGGTATAGATCCTTGGCATGTTCTCTAGCAGGGAGGCACACAGAGTGGGAAATTCTGCCCTCACTAGAATCAATAAGACTAGTGTCATCAAATTCAACAGGATCAGAAATTCAGCTCTAACCTTTACAGTGCAGCTCAATGGAGTTTAAAGTTCTTTTAAAAAAAAAATCAAACCTCTAATCTTAAATATCCTTTGAAATTTGAAGTGCCTCCTGAGCTGTTGCTTCCGAACAAGAAAACTACTGTAGCATTAACACAGAAAGACAGAAGGGAAAGGAATGAGGAAAGAGAGAGAGAAGAAAAACAATAGTTTCCAGAGCCAGCTCCATCTAAGCTGGTTTGTCTTCTCTCTTCTGGGAGAAACTCCTGCTGACGTAACTGAAGGGTGGGACAATATAATGAAAACAAGATCTGGGAAGTAGCTCAAGTTGTAGTCTAAAGAAACATAGTTCATTCTTATTTATATGTTTAAATGCGAGCTAATAGAACGGGTGTGCAGGTGCCCATCACCAGAGGCCACCTCTGAGTGCAGGTTGGGCACTACGTCGTGTGACGGTAACACAAACTGCTTTACAGTGACGTCTCTGAAACTTCTTGGTTTTCCTTAACTAGCAAAATAATTAGTTAGTAATTCTCATTTTAGAGGCTGAGGAGAAAAATTTAGGATGTTTCCATCAGAACGTATCTCCTTAATTGAATAACTTGCTAGATTCTCTAGCTAAAGTTTAAATAACTGTTAATGACTCTGAAGCAATCAGGAATGTTTTGCCAAGGGGAAATCAACAGTGTATTAAGATAGTTCAGTGTTATAGCTGAATGCTAAAGGCAGCTTTTAAAGATCATATGTTTACAAACTAAAGAAGCCAGATACATTTGATCATTCTGAAAATTATACTGACACCTTTAATGCCATTTTTCTTCCATCTGCGTAGGAACGTATATACCAATGGGTAAGGTGAGCTTTCAGATTTTACTAATTTTATACAAAATACTAATGTTCCCCTCTGAAATAAACCCTTGTGACAAATAACCTTTTATAACATCATATAACAGCATATTATGTGCCGCAATCACAGGGCTTTTTAGGTATACATATATATATACTTTTGGGGTACAGTGGTGATACATTTTGATTAGTCAAAATGGAGAACTTTATATTTTTCAGCAATGTAAATCATTTGCCTTCTTGCCGTGTCTTTCCACTTCCTCCCAAACTGCAGTGTTCTGTACAGAAACAATACCATGTCTAACAAATTACCTCCTCATCTGACTTATGCCATAAGGGTGCAAATGTACCCACCTATCCTCAAATTCCCCCCAAAATCCTGTATGTTGGTCCAGAAAAATAAGGAATTGGGGCACAATTCTGTGCCACTGATTCCCTGACATTTTTATCAGGAGCATCAACCAGCCATACATTAGACTTTAATTCAGTGAAATACCCATTTACAGCGATTAGAGCAGTACCATACACTGCACTTGGCTAACAAGTGAAGAAATTGGAAACAGATTACCTAAACCAGCAAATCCAAGCCTAAACTGGCTTTCAGAGGAGGTCTCAGATTGCTGCATGTGCTTCCAGCCAGAAACATTCTCAAGTATATAGTATTTTTTAATTTAGAACCATATCCTTTATGATATGCAAGGCACAAATATCCATCAAATTCAGCGAATATTTTGGGCATGAGGGATGGAGGTTTCATTAGCACTTCATGTGAAAATCATTTTTAATTGATATTCAATTTGATGGCACTGGATTTTAATGGTGACGGCAAAACCTACAGCACAGGTCTCATCCAAAATTCTTTGGAATCAATGTGATCCTTAACACTAACTTCAGTGAAGCCAGGATTTCTGCCTAAATGTTTTTTAAATAAAATGCATAGGTTATTTGTAGATCACTCTGATTACCTCTAGGATTCTGCCAGACTAAACTATGGCAGTTTGCCTGCCTCCCAGGACAGTGTCGGTGAATCCCAAAAGCTTACGCTTTGCATATAATAATTCTATCCAATAAAAAAATAGCATGAAGTGACTTCCAAACTCCAAAGGTCAAAAATTCAGCTAACATATATTAATCTTTATTATGTAACAATGGTATAATAAATAAGTTTATGAATTCATATGACCTGTACAAAAAGCCGAAAAGATATTGCACCAAGTTAGGTACCGGCTATTTGGATTTCATATTTGTTAAACATATGATCTAAAATTATATACAGTGGTGGAGTTAAGGCAAAACCAGATGATACTTTTAACACAACAGAAGGTTTGAAAAATAGACATAATTACAAACAAGGGGATCTCATCTCCAGCTAATAAAGTGGTTGTGTCTAAGGAAGGAGTCCCTTAGGTTTTTAATAAAGCAGTTATTATCAATCATGTTAATTAAAATTGAAGAACAAGTGTGAGATTTCCTGCAGGGCAAAGCTGTTTTGCAAAGTTGTGCCTGAATGATCACCTTTAACCCTGGTAAGAATACTTTTCTTAATGGTTATAATCTGCTTTTCTCTTTAGAAAACAGCACGCGGAAAAGAGGAGCACCTTACATATCCAACTAAAATACAACCATAACCTCTTAGCTTTATGTAAGCTGGACTTGATTGTGACCGGTGACAGAGCATAAATATATGGGTGAACCATCCAACACACTACACGCAGAGGAGAATTAAAGTCAACCAGTTATCAATAATAATTACCTTTCTCAAGACAATGGAATAGATCATGTCAGTTAAGTCCCAATGACAAAAACATGTATGACCAATATATCAATATACAGTTCTTTGGCAGCAACACACTAACTCTTGATTGAAGTCTGAACTCAAACTCTCCTAAATTATAGACCTGGTTGCCAGTCTTTTCATAATCAAAGAAAATCCACTTCTCCCACGAATCCAATCAGTCCAGTAAATGAAATCTGAATAAATCTTGCAGGCAGCTTTAGACTGTAACATTAAGCATAGATATTTATTGTCTGCTTTAGTCTCAATCCAAATATATTGTATTTAAACACACAAAATTCTGTGAAACTTCTGAGTAGTTCAGATGGGGCCAAAATCCATAAAGAGAATCCATATTCACCCATGAAAAACCAATAAAGAAACATCAATCCCATGATGATAAAATGATCTTCATGTAACAGAGGCAATGATGAGTCCACACCTGGATGAATGTCACAGGAAAATTGACTTTACAGGGGAAAGACCAGAAAGCCAGAAAACGTAGAATACTGCCATCCACCGACCAGATTACCTTTCTCCAATTTCAGGTAAACCTTATCCTCCTTGTCTAGATAGAGCAGGACTCCATTAGTGGCAGCTTCACGTGTGACGTCCTTGTCCCCGGCAAAAGCAGAAATGACTGGCTTTCCATTTAGCATCAAATTAACCTACAAGAGAAAAACCGCTGAAAAGCTCTAATTAACAGAAAAACATCAAGGACTATCGCTGAATATTAACTACAGTGTAAGAGGTCTGCTAAGGTCACAGTCTTCACTGCTTTTTGGTGCTGTTTTGAACTAATAATTACATTTATTTGGAGTGTACCAGCACATTTGTGTTTCGTGGGTTTGACCTGCAGCTGAGTGAAGCCGGTGGGACACTGTCCACTGCGTGCCATCGCCCGGGCTCACTCGCTGGGAAAGGTGACGCGACACGGCTTTCATCTGCTGCTTGGGCACATTAATTGTTGTAACTCTTCGGTAGTACGAACTGTGAGCTATTACCTCAGCTTGTTTCACTTTGCCTACCTCACAGGTTATTTCGTCACGCGCTAGCAAAGACGACGTTTCCAGGAAACTCAGGCACCCGGAGATGCGGTATAGGCACCTAATGGGATGTCAAAGCTCCTGCAGTAGTCTGGGAGCTGTGTCCCCTATGTGTCCCTGCTGTTTCCAACGGCAGCTTAGTTTTAAAGTCTAGAACGGACCTTTAGCTTTATGAGCCACTGCACCGTGTTTTGGTACTGAATCCATTTTTCTCTAAAACACTTCTGAAAGTCAGCACAGCCTCTGCTCTGAAAGCAACATCACACAGAAACTCTGTAAATAAAGATGGGCAGGGGCTGGGGGAACGGACACATCCAGGCATTTTTCATTTCCCCAATGGCAAACTATTAGCTTTCTTCTGCTTTTTCTTTTTAAGCAGCTATAATGCAGTCACAGAGGGGTGAATTATGAAATGCTTATTCATATCGACTATGCTGGCCTTGCATGTGCTCCCATTAATTTTAATGGGAGTCGCCATGGTATAAATTAGTGCTCAGCATAAGTCAGGGCAGCAGAATCTGGCCCTGATTTGGGATTCACATATCTGGGAAATCCACTTAATCAGATGTCCCCAGGGAACCAATTTCTGTTTAATGATATTTAATGGCACTAACAGATGTTCCAGGGGCACAGTAATATCACTTATGTAGAATGCCTTCAGGTGATTTAGTGGTGTTTGAGTCCACCTGTGGCTGAGACTCGAGCTGCTTTGCTCCACTGCAATGGCTTTCAGTCCTCCCCCCTAGTTATCACACGTGCAAAAAAAAGGGCATCAAGAGTTTACTCATTGCTTGGTTTTAGTTTATCTCACTCCTTCTGTAGCATCTCTCTAGGTCAGGTTTCCCTGCAGATCATCGCACAGCTATTTTAATGACAGCAGAAGACACATCACAGATTTGCACCAGATGATCTCATGCTACCTGTGCCAAAATGGAGCCAACGAAACCCATTCACTTTAGAAACTCTTGATCTATGAAAGATTTCAGCCCATGTCCCAGGTTGTAACATGCCCTGTTATGAGCATGTCTATCTACCAGGTTTGACTACCTGCTATGTGAAACATCAAAGTCTGCACGGGACTCCCAGAATCCAAGCCTTGAGATCTTTCTTGGCAATATGTATTTTAAATTCCGTAAAGCTGGATGACATACAGTTATTCTAGGCCATTTCAACCTTCAGCATTTAAGAGAGTGAAAGGAACAAAGTCTGAGCATATTAAATAGCTTATAAGCTCATTATAGAGATTTTTCACGAGGTCAATATTTGATTTAAGACTTTTGTCATTGACCTGAATGGAACCACGATTTCCTGTTGTAAACTGAAAGAGAATTTTACCAGGGATATGAAGGTGTCTTGCACTGGCTTTCTCTGCCATCTCTACCATTTACACTTTTCTCAGGAGCTTTACCAGCAACCCAAAGCCAGAACTGCCACAAAGAAATGGCTGATCGCTCCTCCTGCAGAAAACAGTTTCATCTCAGCCTTGTACACTGAAAACCCTATTCAGGAGCAAGACACATCAGGGGAAAAGCATCAGGTACTTCTGTGAATCTGGTGGTCTCGTGGGCGGAAACAAGGGAAGCCACAGATGTTATTCCACATCTAGAGAGCCAGTATGTACGTCACAGAAACTGCATGACCTGGCATGAAGATTAAGGAACATACTTTAAGGAATTTACTGTTGGCTCAGCAAGGGGATGTTCAGGAACTTAAAGGCTTTTCCTCTAAGCTAGTACATACTTGTATTTAATTAGGTAGTTCAGCTGCTATTAAGCTACAGAAGAACGTGCAGAATTGCTCCTTTTTTTTTTTTTTTAATATATGACATATCTTTTAGACATTATATGGTAAAAAAAAGTTTGAACTGCTATAAAGGTTCCCTAGAAGACACCCCTGTAGAGGTGTAACATTTCGGTACAGTATTAAACAAGTAGACCACCTTAATTAACCTCGGTGCACGGCAAACTGGTGTCATAAACAGATACCTGGCATCACCAGCTGTCAGCCAGGTCACAAAACGTTACAAAAACAATCAAATCTGGTACATCTCTCCAGAACTCCTCTGTTCAAGACAGTGAGTTTAACCTGTAGCAAAATATGACTCCTTGATTGTATTTATGCAATGAAGTGAAATTTAGAGCTCTCTTTTACTCTTGGGTAATTAATTCTATTTAAAACTTTATATCACGCCAGATATTCAGTTCTTGCGGTATGGAAGTGAAGCTATGGCAGTTTATCTGAGGTGAGTATCTTGCCTTATTACAGCTGTTCAGTTTAAATGTAGTCACTCTACTGCTAGGAACTCTACACCACAGGTTGCTTTAAACTAAGCTATTTTTCCTTGAACGTATTTTAAATACCCTTGTGTTCAGTCAAGATCCTATTCTAAATAAACAATTTAAGTAAAAAAGTTTATAGTCATACTTGATCGACGTACCTGAATTGTTTGACTCTGGTAGACTTTAATTACGTGAAAACTGAAACTGTAAATTCCTTTTCTTGGTGCTACAAAGACAGACTCCAACGTGAAAAAATTGCCCACATTTACTAGGATCTACAAACAAAAAATATAGCATGGGAATTAATACAGGTATTCAGTGCTAAATGAAAAATACAGACCATTAACTTTAGAAACCATTCACCCATGGAATTTTTTTAATCTGCATCTATGCTGTTTTATTCATTGTTCTCTCAATTAAGTTGGAATATTACTCATTAAAATGGATATTTAGTTATATTTATAGGGCAACTTTACTATAAAGTAGGATGGAAAATATTTCTTACTTTGCCACTATATCATACCTTCAAGATCTTCCTTCTATACATGTTTAGAGGAGATTAATGCATTTTTGTTCATCATTCCCAAAAAACGACACCACAACACTAATTCAGGGAGTGTCATATTGGTTTTAGCTAAAAAGCAATGGTCAAGTCAACACTGTCTTCCTGAAAGTCTCAAGCTGTGCGAGGAAGAACATGATGAATATCATGATGATATAATTCATTCACAAGTTTATAGTCAGACTGAGTTACAGAAATACCTGGCAAACCTGAGCCAAAACTGGCTGTGAGCCTTGGCTGCCTTATTTGTTTTTGGAAGCACTAATAATAATTTGGGTTTGATTAAACAGAGACAAGTAACAGAGTGGAACATATTAAAGGAGTGCATCGTCCATATGCTAAGTATCTTCTTTAATGACTACATTCTTCTGTCTTTCCACTTAGTTATGCTTTATTTTTAATTGATATTTTCAGGCTCCTTTATGCCAGAGACAGCCCTAGAAAGCCAGTAGGAATGTCCATGAAGTTGGCGTAATTTACAATGCCAGCACTAAGCTACGTGACGTACCTGCCTTCAGTTGTCACGACAGTTCACTGTTCATTATGATACGGTATAGAAAGCAAAATAACCACCAGTCTCAGTTACCTCGGGCTCGCCCTAGGACAGGAGCTGGTATATGACATGTGTGCTGGCATCTGCGTGTTAACCTGAGTGACCGAGACAAGAGGGGCTGTGCTACGAACCTGCCACTGTGACAGAAAAGTTAAATGATTTTTTCCTTCAAATTCGTTCTTCTTTCCCCTCTCAAAGGCTGCACAAGACGTCTAAAAACCTACGTAGGCTGCTTGCACCTGACAAAACCCTGTCCCCACGCCTGCCGGGGCCCCGTCCTCGCCCGCCGCCCAGCGAGGGCTGCCG